GCAGAGAGAGAGAGAGAGAGAGAGAGAGAGAGAGAGAGAGAAAGCTCTGTATTGAGATTAATTTACCCAGGCTCACCTGATCGAATGGGGTAGCGGCCAGTCAGGAAGGCAGCCCGACTTGGGGTGCACATGGAGGCAGCGGCCAGGTGCTGGGTGAGCATCACTCCCTCACTGGCCAGGCGGTCGATGTTGGGGGTGCTGCAGGCGGACGGACAGTCAGCAAATCAAAAAATAAATAAATTTTTTTTAAAAAAAAAAAGCCCTTGCCGGTGTCGCTCAGTGGGTAGAGCGCCGGCCTGCGGACTGAAGGGTCCCGGGGTCGATTCCCGGTCAAGGGCATGGACCCCTTGGGGGCAGGCACATCCCCAGTAGGGGGCGTGCAGGAGGCAGCTGATTAATATTTCTCTCTCATCATCGATGTTTCTAACTCTCTATCCCTCTCCCTTCCTCTCTGTAATATATTAAACGCGCGCCCTCTGCTGGTCACGTGGAGAAATTGCAGGGAGCTGGCTGGCGGCCCCGGAGGCACCACGCCCCCAGCTTGCGACCCACCCTTTACCTGACTGTGTTGTTGCCATAGCAACATAGATCTCCAATCCCCAGGTCATCCGCCATCAAGAGGACAATATTGGGCCTCGAATTCCGGGTCACGAACGTCCCCCGGAGGCTCCCAAAGAGGCCACACAGTGACACCCACAGCCGGAAGTTCCTGAAAAGTAATTTTTTGGGGGGGAAAAAAAAAGACACACAAATAACCAAAACAACCAAAAAAAAAAAAAAAAACCCAAGGCCCCACAGCAACTTGCATTGCATTTAAAGCAACTTGAGAAAAGGAAGCCCTAAGCCAGGGTGGCTCCGTTGATTAGGCGACTTTTCTGAGCACCGAGAGGTCCTGGGTTCGATTCCCGGTCAGGGCACTTGACCGGGGTATTGTGGGCTCCATCCCCAGTAGGGGGTGTGCAGGAGGCGGCCGGTCCATGATTCTCTCTCATTATGGATCTTTTTTTCTCTCTCTCTATTTCTCTCTCTGAAAAATCAATAAACCTATATAGAGTCCTGGCCAGTTTAGCTCAGTGGTCAGAGCGTCAGCCCAGAGACCAAAGGTTTGGGGGTTCGATTCCCGGTCAAGGGCACGTACCTGGGGTGCAGGCTTGATTCCCTGGCCCTGGTCAGAGTGCACGCAGGAGGCAACCAATCCGTGGTTCCTTCTCCCATCAATGTTTCTCTCTCTCTCTCTCTCTCTCTCTCTCTCTCTCTTTCTCTC